CTTCAATTTCCACAATCAATCTCATAATTTAAATGCATGCAATCCTTTTTCAACTCCATTAAGGCCTTGGGGTCCCACTGTATGTTCCCGGTCCCCACACAAAATCTAGCAAAACTAGAGTTCTTACAAAACTTGAATACACCGTCGTGTATACACTTCTCTGAAAACTACCCAAGTTCTGCGCAGGTTACACCGTAGCATCTACCTATGTCTGCATCTTCCTTTCGGATACGTCGGACCACCTCACATCAGATTATATAGTGCATGAATCTACCTGATAACATGCTTAATAACCATAATCGCCACAAATCACAACAATGTATCATTCTAAAATAAGTCCCCCCGAACTTAAGCTTGAGACTTTCCTCGAATACTTTTCACTAACCATTCATCATTCTGTCCATCGCACATCCAACATTACTTGACTAGAATTCACAAATTCTCCATGTCAAACATATTAATGAGTTCATGATCAAGAAGATTATGAAAGCATTCACCACGGCACTTTATCAAGCATGCAAATTCATAAATATCACATCCAACACCATATTCATCAAGGCATGCTCAGATCGATGACATGCAGCAAGTGCCAAGCAAGTCTCTTGGCAAGATCTTAACATGCAGAACGAATTCATAATCATTGCGACAAGACTAAGTAAAAAAACTGCATGAATAGACAATCAACCAACGCATCAAGCTCCAAAGATCACATGCATGCATATATTCACAACCTACGCGATGAATCTGGCAATGTGCATGGATAATGAAATCGCCAGTCTACACATTTTGTCGTACATGATTCATGCAACACACAACACCATCTCACAAATTGAATCGCTGGACTGGATTCTCAACATGAACAGATCCTTCTTACCAAAACTCGATCAACCTAAAGCTAGGGATTGAGATCTAGCTTATAATCTTAACCAAAAAACGGATCTGGACTAAAATCACGAAGAAAATTGATGAACCCATATTTTAGCTCTTTTTAGGCCAACATTTGCATCCATTTACTCCACATTTTGCATCATAATATAATCTTTAGGTTCATATTAGGCTAGTTTAGTTTAGAATTGCATTTTAGAGTTTATGATTAGGATTTTGTATATTTTGCATAGTTTTATCTTATTTTCAGGTGATTTTGCGCTAAATGGAGCTAATCTAGCTAAGAGGAGCTTGGAGGATGATCTGGAGTGCCAAAGAGGAGCATATAAGGAGCAAAGAGGAGCTAAAGGTTGAATACGGGAATTAAAGAGCTAGATATCGGTCATACATATCAGTGATGATCGATAAACCGAGCCAAACCGCAAGACAACAAGGAGGAAGAACCGAACGGCGAGAAGTTGAACCGCGGGTCGAGACCAGGATATCGGTCACCGTTGATAAGGCATACCGATATGCTGAGATTTCCCTGTAGACGACGAAGCATCGAAGGCGCATCGAAGGATTTGGATACACGGCACGAGGGGCCGATATCCTTAATAGGGGTAATACTTAATGTTAGTATTAGAAATGATCACTCAAATATAGAACATATGCTA